AAGAAGAAGAAGAAGAAGAAGAAGAAGAAGAAGAAGAAGAAGAAGAAGAAGAAGAAGAAGAAGAAGAAGAAGAAGAAGAAGAAGAAGGGGAGGAGGATGAGGAGGAGGAGGAGGAAGTTGATGATATGAATCCTATTTTGTTCTTTATCATTCTGATCTCAGTTTAAATATTACCTCCTCAGAAGTTTTCTTTGACATCCCAACCTAAAGAGTTGCCCAGTTGTTGCCACGTTGCCCAATATTAATTCTCTGGATGACTTTCATCATGTGCTGATTTTTTTTCACACGTGTTGTCTACTTACTGTGTCTTTCTCTGCAATAAAATATAAATTTCACAGAAGTAGAATATTTGACCATCTTGTTTACGACTGCATTCCCAATACACAAATCAGCCTCCAGCCCAGAACAGGCACTGGAGATATAGTGAAGGAAGGAAGGAAGGAAGGAAGGCAGGAGAGGGAGGAAGGAAAGAAGCTGGGGGTGGGGGCGGTGCTCAGTGTCAGAACTGAGGCACGCACTCGGGGCTTTGTACCCCAGGCTGAGAGAAAAGCAACTGCCCACTGCCCCTGACACAGATCCACACCTAGAGCCCTGAGCAACTAGGACCAAATCCATGAGCCAAATGCTCACCCCATCCATCTACACCTTAGTTATCTCCTCTCCTTTCCTTTCTCCTCCTTGGGGGCCACCCTGAGCCAGCACCCGAGGTCTAAGGTTGACAAGCTGATCCTCCTCCCCTGGGAACAGAGGCAAATGCACCTGGGTCTCCAGCGCTGAACGGTTCACTAAGGCAGTCTGAGATCAACAAAAAGAGGAGCTGGAAGTTGTGTGTTCACCCATCACAATGAAACCCATCACCAAGGAAAGGGTGGAACCTCTGCTTTATTTAAGATCATTACATTCAAAAAAAACATCAATCAAGATTAAATAAGTCAAGAGTTACTCAATTGTCTTTTAAGAAGTAGAAATGTAAAATGTTCCTCATCATTTTTTTTAAAATTAAGAACAAAGAATAAAATCCCTATTCGGTAAATATAGCAAACAAAGAAAAATTCTACTGTATGACTAGTCAAGGGTATGAGGGAGAGACAAAGAATAAAGAATAGAGGCAGAGGAGAATCACAGAAGGGTCTCTGGGGCCAATACTCTTTACCTACCACATTCCGACCCAATCACCTCCCTGCCACCTTTCCCCCCAGGTCTCGTAAGTTATGGTGCCACATAGTAAAAAGGGATGGTGAATAGTTGGAAGCAATGTCTGGAGTTATCCACTTGAGGTTTTATTTTGATCTTCATAAAAGTGAGAGGATCTGAGCAACGTATCAACGTTCAGTTTTCCTGCTAGTCTACATAATTACTTTTGAGGAAGCCGAAGGGTGAGAAAACCCTTTCCAAGCCAACTTGGTCAGTCACTGATTCAACTTGCAGCCACCTAACTGTGTGGGGTCAGCATTTGGCTCACGGATTTGTTCCTAATTGCTCAGGGCTCTGAGCTGGGTTCAGAGTCAGGGGACTGGGCAGTTGCTTTTCCATCCTGCCTTGTTCTTGACTCCAATGGTGACGTGTATACTGCCTGTCCCTCAGACAATCATACCCCCAACCAGTATTCATGAGCACACTGGACTCAGATTCAGGAGCAAGATCATTCTGGGGGTAGTCCAAGTGGCCAGGTAGGGGATGAAATCACACACTTCATAGACACCAAGCAAGGACACTGCTGACAGAAAAGACAGGGTAGCGTGAGTCAAGAACCCAGCCCAGAGCCCTGAGCAGCTAGGACTAAATCTGCGAGCCCAACAGGATGCCTTGTGTGGCACCGTCAGCTAGCCATAGAATTGAAACCCAGCTCTGCCACCTCATAGCTGGGTGAACTTGCAAGTTACTTAATTTTTCTGAACTTTCACTTCCTCATCTCTAAAATGGAGATACCTATTTAACAGGATTGGGTAAGGATTCATCACAATCATATCTGGAAACTGCTTGATGTAGTAGCTGGAAAATAATAAGCTCTCAATAAATAGTAGCTAAACTTTTTGAAGCCCTGCAGGGATTTGGCTGTCTGGCAGATCCACGGCTCCCAGGGGACTGGAGGTGTGACTGACGTGTACCTAAGATGCCTCTACTTCACTCCCTTGCACAGCAAGGAAATAAAAATCAGGCATTTTCCTGCAAAAGGGTGATTCTGGAACATGATTTTCTCAGCCTAAAACCCAGGCAGCAGGTAGGATTTTTCTCTCCCGTCCGCTCTCTCAAGCCCAACACATATACCCAGTCTCAGAGCAAGGGAGAAGCTATGACGGCACTGATCCAATAGCTCAACTGTGTGACAGTGCGGGTCACCGTATATCATGCTGCCATCAACACAACACTCACAATTCCTGGCAGAAGGATGGCCTCCTGGGAGCCCCAGCCTCATAAATATCACAGTGAAGCAGACAGAGGGACAGAAACAGCTCCATGTAAATCACTCTCAATTTGTGATCCCTGCAATGTCAGAGCATGAAGTTCCATCCCAGGAAGGGGCGTTACAGGGGGACTGGCAAAGTTGGAGAGGGAGTTCAACAAAAGAAAGAAATTTGTATATTGAATATGGATTTTCAGAAGGAACTGAAATAAAGTCCTTTTAAAATCTGAAGGAAGATGCAAGATCAAAATGACATGAAAGCAAGCATATAGCCTTGTGAATTGTCCCTTTTTCCAACCAGTTACTCTTAGGACACTCATTTATCTCTACCTGTATGGACAGTCTCCATTGTCCATGTGTATTACTAATGTATATTGATTGACTCTTACAAGTGACCTGGCTTGGACAATGAATGATGTGATTACCCTACATTACCAAGTGATATAGCATCTCAGTTGACCAGAACAGTAGAACTGAATCAAATAGCAAGAAAAGGTCATTTTCTTCTAGATTACAGAGATAGCTGCACAATCCTACAAGACCCACACATGTGCAGGAGAGGAAGCCCCATGTTTTCCATAGGTGAGTCCTCTTGGAACTGCCATCCCCAGTAGAGGAAGCCCCTTTTTGGCTGATTCTGATGTCAGAGGAAACAAAGCAAAGCTCTTCATTAAGCATCAAAAATACCCTTTTCTTTTGTGAAAACACTTCCCTGAGTTCAGCTCTCACAGCCTCTCCTCTGGACTTATCTGTCCTGGCTCCCAGCCTTTCCTCTGAGGATGATGATGTCTCCATGACACAGTGTGGTTCTCAGCCCCCAAGAATAAGTAAGAATAATCAGGGTTCCTTCACCCAGGCCTCCAAAGGGAAGAGCTGAATCATTACAAGACCCCAGATCCAGGTCACCCACCTACCCACTCAGCATGAACCACTGGCTCTGAAGGGTCACAGTCACAAACCCCTGCATCAGAGAGGAGGATCACACACACACACACACACACACACACACACACACACACACACACACACATCTCAGCAAATGGCCAAACTACCATCTAGGTCCCCAGTTTGAGGAGGGAGCCTAAATATCAAGGAGAGGGGACCCAGAGAGGGGGAGGGGAGCACCTGCCATCAGTCTTTCCTGGGCACCTGCACAAGCAAAAGGGCACAGAGACCTGGGTGTTCGTTCCCTGAAAGAGATGAGCAACCGCCCTCGTGCAGGGAAACCCAAACCTAGTCAAAAAGCAAGTCATTTTAAGTAGCCTGGCTTCCTCTTGGTACTCTCCCCACCCCGCCCTCGCCAAGTCCCAATTCCCAGCCCCCTCCTAGGAAAGGACCCACCTGCCCCGCTCTGACTAGTGGCTCCAGAGACAGCCAGGCCACCCTACACCAGTCCCCAGTAGCCCCACAGCTGCACGCAGCTCCCTTCACAGAAACTTCGCTGGAAGCTCGGCCCCTGCTCCAGTGTCCTCTCCTCAACCGGTCCCCCACAAAACTTCCCAGTACCAAGCACTGGCCGAGCCGCCGGCACGGGGGAGGCAATGGAAACGGCTGTTGGAGGCCCGCAAGCTCGCAGAAAACCCCAGGCCTGCACTTGCTCGGGGCTGGTCTCCGCTCCCCTCCTCGGGCAGCGAGCGGGCCTCCCTAGCTGCGGGGTGAGAAACGCCAAACCACCCGCGAGTTGTCACCCCTGGGAGCCCCGGCAAGGGGCACACCACTCTGCTCCAAAAATCCAAACCGCGGTTTCCCCGCCCGGGCAATTGCCACAGAAGTTGCAAAGGGGCAAAGGAAGACCGTGGTGGAGGGAGATCCCGAGAAGGTCTGGCTAACTAGGAATCTCCGAGGTCCACGCACCCCCAACAGGTAGCGGCACCCGGGCCAGAGCCGCTGCGCCGCTGGGAGCGCAGCGCAGCCCCGCTGGCAACCCGCGCCAGGGCGCAGCCAGACACAGCTTCGGCAGCCAGAAGCGGGGCTTACCTTGAATTAACGCAGAGTCCCGCGCTCAGCTGAAGGAGGAGGGGGTGCTAGTATTCCCAAGACATCGCTGAATTATTTTAAAAGAGCAAAGGGGTGGGGGCAGGGGAACCGAGAGAGGGGGAGGAGAGATGGTGAAATTGAAGGAGGAATAAGGAGAAATCGACAGAAAGAAGGGGGAAGGAGGGCAGGCGGAGGTGAGGGAGAGAAATGGAAAACCAAATAAATAAATGAGAAGGGAGACAGTTTAGAAAAAAATATCTGTCTCCTGCCCACACAGTGGAAAAGAAATTTCTGGCAATCGGAAAGAGATCTCGTACACATGCCCCCCAGAGGGGACAGCCTGGGGACTAACAAAGGAGAAGGGAAGACGGGAGCTGTATCCAAACAGAAGAGATCGCTGTCCGGGCACCGCAGCTCTCCGGCGAGGGAGCGGGCGGAGGGTGGCGAGACAGAACGCCCGCGTGAGCGCGCACCGGGCTGGGGCGGGGGGCCGCCAGAGGCTTGACTTACCCGCGGGGATCTGTGCAGTAAACAGCCTGGGGTCGAGTAATCTAGGTGAGGGTTTCGGTGGAAAAGTTCAGTGACCTCAAACTTCTGCTGGCGATTTCCACTGGAGTACGCCATCCCCGTTGTGGGCGGGGGCGGTCCCCTCTCCTGGTCCGGCTTATGGACCGCACCAGCGTCCTGACCTCTTGCCTCGACAGGAAGGAGGAACTATGATCTACAGAGCACGGCCACATCTAAGGAGAAACAAAAGCGACTTGGGGGGTGGGAGGGCTTGGGGGATCGAGTTAAGGGAGACAGAGAAGTGTAGGTAACAAGCCCCGAGCTGGATGTTGCTCAAAGAAATGGGCTCTCATCCAGGGAGGAGGCTCTCTGCTGCCTCTGGACCACCCAGAGCCCCCCTGAGGGTCTCCAGGGGCCCACTGAGGGCTCTAAGGGAGACCTGTTCCCTGGAGGCAGTTAAGGAGCTCAAGAAACAAACAGCCTTAAAAACTGAGTCTAACTGGCATCTCCAGGGCCTCCTAGACCTGAATCCCCCCCTTGAGCTTCCTCTCCCCAATTCCTCTGCTCTCAGCATGTCTTTCCCTCAAGAATGACGAAAGTGCTTCTCAAAGCCCTTCAGCCCAGTCTCCCTCCCATCAGTCCGTCTCTGCTGGTCCCAGCAGGGTCCCCAGAGGGGCCTTGCAAGGTGGCATTATAAGCAACTGTCCCTCTCTCCCTTTCTCTTTACAGAGAGGAGCCCAGGAGAAGGGGTAGGGGGAAGGAAAGAGGAGGCTGTAGGATCTGAAGGGACAAGAAGAGAACCAGAAGGGAAGCAACAGGGAAGGAGGAGGGAGGGGCGAAGGAGCCTTCTCCCTTCCCTCACACTTTAAGCTTGACCTTGGACCAGAGGAGGAGAGTTCTCTGAGGCTTCGGTGGAGGGTTGCCAGAGTTGAAAGAGGAGAGTTGGCTTATTTAGCCATGAGCTTCCCGAGTTCATCTCTACTTTGCATCCTATACACCTGTCCATTTTCAGCCCGCCACACACGGCAGACTTAGGAAACATGGGTGGAAGGGAACTTGCAGTAAGCTGACCTAGTAGCTCTGAAATTAAATAAATAAATAAAAAGCTCCAGTAGAGCATTCAGGGGAAAAGCAGGACTTCAAAACCATTTCTCAGAGGCTGTCAGATTTTGGAAACAGTCTTGCAAATCAGCTTTCCCTTATTAGGTGTGTCTGTCTGTCTGTCTGTCTGTCTGTTCAAGCATAAGAATGCCATAGGAGCACCTCCTGTGAAGACCTTGATCCCCTGCACAAGGGGAGGTCAGAACTGTGGGCCCTGGGGGTCAGCAACCCTCTCAAGGGAGAAGCAGCACAGAGCCAGGGAGGAGAACTCTTCCCACTTTAGGAAATTAACCCTGGAATCTGTTGGAATCTGACTTCATGTTCCACCAGCACCTTGACATATGCACAAACAGACTCAAGGGAGTTGCCAGCCACCAAAACCCTCCTCTCAATGGCAATAAACAAAAGCATTCACCCTGCAATGTTTGGGCTTTCTTTTCTATTCTTTAATAATAAAAGAAAGTTTAAAGAACTAGGATACCAGAAGGCTGATGGTTTTCCTGGCTTGGAATCTCCTTAAGAGAAGAGCATCCAGGCTCACCACCAACCCCCACCACCAAAACAAACAACAATCATGCCCACAAACAAGATTATCTCCGACAGCCCCTTCATACTGTTGGGAGAGTGCCATGCCCAGCAACTAGATGGTTCCATAACAGATTCCCTTAACGTCTTCATGCAGGTGACACAATCCCAGAGAGCCAAGCACAACCCCTGGGACACACCTGCCATTTTATTTCTTGCCTCTCTGGCTACAAATAATTGAACAATTTGAACAATATGGTATCCTTTCAGACATAATGAAAACATTGGTCTGGTTCTTGTCCCATTTGAATGAGTTGTGGCTGTTGTTCTAGGCAGAGGAGGTGGAAAGTAGCCTGGGAGGATTGCTCTCAGCACACAGGCCCTTCTCCCTTCACCCAAGCAAATGCACCCTCCTGCCCCCAGGTTTCTACTACCCCCAGCAGGGCAAAGGGCCCCATGCCCAAAACACTCCCTCTCCTCCCAGTCCTCAGCCAGACAGCACAGAAGCACCTTGCAGGCCAGACCCAGACCTGTGCCCCATACTGAGCCCCCTGATGGGACTTGGACTTCATGCTGGGGCCCAGGCTTCAAAGAAAAGACCCTGGTTTAATAATGCAGGCTGCTTGAATGCCATTTAGTAGCCATGGCAACCAGTTCCCTGACATCTAGTTGTAGGCAGGGTGTGGTTTGAAGGAGAGAGGAAGAGAAAGAGAAAAAGGTAGAGGCGATGGGAAAAGCAAGAAACCCAGCCTGGATTCCATGCAAACTTTCCCTGCTTGCACCTCCCCACCAAGCCCCACAAGGCAAGGTCTAAGAATCTCAGCTCTCCCTGCCCTTCCCCAGTTCTCTTCCCCCTGTCTCTGACTCACCTCCCTCCCTTCCTTCTTCTTCTTCTTCTTCTTCTTCTTCTTCTTCTTCTTCTTCTTCTTCTCTCTCTCTCTCTCTCTCTCTCTCTCTCTCTCTCCTCCCTCCCTCTCTCTCCCTCCCTCTCTTCTAGTAGAAACAGGGAGATCCTCTTTCTGACTCAGCATTCCAACTCAACACCTTTGGGACTCTGGCAAATTCCTTAGCTTTTCCTTGTCTTGGGTTTCCTTATCTATAAAATATAGAGGGGTCTATGGGTGTTTGCTGTGGTTTCTTCCAGCTGTAAGAATGCATGATTCCATGGTCCTCTCTCCGTCTCTCCACCTTTCAGACTTTAATCTGTGTCCAGCTATCTCTATCTTTCTACCTCTCTGCCTCTTCATTTGCTTCCCTCTTCTCTCTCCCTCCCTCTCTCCCTCCCTCTCTTTCTCATGAATACCATTTGCCATCAGATTTCACCTGTGAAGCCGCTATGTTTTTAATAAATATTCCAATACCCTTGTCAGTAAGCAATCCGCCATCCCCCTTCTTCACCCAGCTAATCTCCCCTCATGCTGCAGTTGCAAAGCAGATATCAGCTCCAATAAGAAGCCTCCCTATTTCCCCAGAGAGGGTCGTTGCCCCTCTCATAAGCTCCCATAGTCCTGGATGAACCTCTGTCTTTTCTTGCCGCACTGTGTTGTAATTGCCTATTCACTTGCTCTGCCTCCCTTGGGGTGGGCAAAAACCGTGCCTTTTTCATGGCTGTATCCCCAGTATCTGCCATTCAGGAGGCACTTAAGAAGCACTTGTTGAATGACAGGATAAATAAATAACCTAGAGCCACAAGTTACTGAGTCACTGCTTCTTAAAGACTCAAGACCCATCCACAAGGGACATAGGGTAGGAAGGGGCAAGGGAAGCCAACCCAGGCTCTCCCATGTATGGAGGAGGGGAGACCTCCTCCCCAAATTGTTCTGATGAGGTGGTAAACCAAGAGCCAGGGGTCCTCTGAGACATCTCGGTGTGGACAACCCAGCACGGAGATAGCTCCTGAAGGGAATGAAGATAGCTCCAGTAGCAACAAGGAGTGTGAAGGATGCCAAGTGGGTGGTCCCCCCCAGCCCATCTCTGAGGCTGCTCTGACAAGATCTGGGTAAACTCCAAAAGTGACTCTCCACATGCAGCAATGGGGGTTCCTTCCAAGGTGTCCGCGCTTCAGGCAACCGCCTGGCATCAACTGTCTCCCAGCCTTCTCGCCTGGCTCCCGTCTTCCTGGGAGCAGGGCCATGAGGGAAGCAGACGGAGGCTGGGATGGTGTTGCCAGAGGCACATGGGCCATGTGGGCAGTGCTTCAGGCCCTGCTGGGAGATGCCAGTGTGGATTTCTGTCCTCATATTCTCAAAGGTGGTCCTCTTTTGAAACAGGCAAACAAGACCTCTGCATTTAAGAAACTTACTGTAAATGTGAATGAAAGGCAAGAACTCAGAAGACAAGGATTTCTTCCTGATGCTTCCTAATGAATACTCTCTCATTCATACATCACACAAAGGGATAAACATACACACACACACACACACACACACACACACACACACAAGCCCTGTGCGGTGTGCGGAGTACTCCTGTTAAATTGAGAAAGTCTCAAGCACAAGCCCAGGTTGCATGGTGTGCATCCCCCTCCTCGTAACCCAGAAGCCCAGGCATGTCTGGCTTGGAGCCTCAGCCCCCATGCAGCTTTTTCCCCAAATAATCTTTAATCCAGACGGAGCTGCCTACCCTCAAAGATCTGCCAAGTGATACACAATCTTCTTGATATCATGCACAGACTGAGTGACACATTTCATTAGCAGACTTCATGAGTTGTCCTCACCGCCCCCTCCGCACAAGCAACCTTCACATATCCCTTCTGCAGGAGGCAGGCTCCTCCCAAGCTTCAGAAAACAGAAAGCTAGAAGACCCAAAAAAAAACCCATGAACCCCAAAAAGACATTGCTTTTTTTTCCCCAAACTTGAATTTATATCCATGCTGGGATGTTTAAAAGAAGTCCAATATGGAGTCACACTGAGTTTTGCCACCACAGGGGAATAATTCCTCCCAGCTGGTGGAAAATTCAACTCGTGTTTACTTTTAGTGAAACACAAACCTGGTATGAGAAGAAAACAAGTTAAAAACCTTCCTCTATGCTCAACCCATGCCATCATGCCACCTTCCACTAAATTGAAAGCGCATGTCCTCTCCCACATACTCTAACCATCTTTGAGCGCAACACCCAAACATTAGGACAAACCTACGCTCTTTCACCACCCCTCAGAACAGAACCGGAAAGCATGTGGCAGCCAACACCCATGCTAATTCCATTTGATACACACACACACCCCAACTGCCAAGGCATCACACAGACACACCCCACAGACACCATAACTGAAACATGGGCACGTGCACACG